GCATCGTCCGTTTCTTAGGGATACACCCCTAAGTGTGGTGACAACCCCTTAGGGGAGGTAAGTTGTTCCTGTCGTAGGGGACCATCAGAAGTACGGTTGGTGCACCCGGCTGGAACGACGACGAGGCAATGTAGTCGCGACCGTTTCAACGACTCTCGATATTATTTAGCATCGCCTCAAAGTTGTCTTTTGTTTGTTTTGTTTAACTTCTGGGGGACATGGCCAGGAGGGCTCTTGCTTTTTGTGGAAAAGGAGAGAGTCGATGCGCTCGACAGGTGCTGTCGTTTTCGAGGATCTAACCCCTGAACAACAGTCCTACTAAATAAATAATCGTCCCTATCTTATTGTGCTCGTGCACCAAACACGACCAACTCTATTAGCCCCCTGAATCGCATGGTTGTCCTGTTTTAGGTAGGATAGATTTAACCGTAGCATTCTCACGGTCAGACGTCCCTACATCTGTATCATAATTGACCACACCACCAATTATTGCCATTAGTCTTGGACGTCGCAGATGTACAGATTAAAGTTCATAAAAACTTTAATTTCTTGATTATAGGTTAGTCTCAATAAAATTATGGAAACCACGTCAACCTTATAAAGTCAAATCTCTCAAAATTGTCAGACAACGTTCGACATTTGAAATCACCCAGCATATACCCTTAGATGAGTTTCTACTCCGACAGCGTATGTTCATTTTATGTTGCGTTGCATTCTAAGCCCATTGTAGGCGTTCCTTTTTTTTTAATGATTAGATGCACCATGAATCCACTACAGCTTATGTTAGATGTTCATAGTCTAAGTTTCTAGATTAAAAAAAGAAGAGGGAAAAAATGAGTTACAATTTTTTTTTTTTTTTTTTTTTCCTTTTCCGTCTGTCTCATTTTTTCCCCCTGCCCGTTCTCTGGGCGCCATGCTGTAGTACTGCTACGTACTAACGTGAGTGAATATATATGCAATTCCAATCAAATATATATATATATATATATATATATATATAACATTAAAAAATATTCAATACAAAAAATACAATTTTTCTCTCTTTCTCTCTCTCATACACGCAAACACACAAGCATGCTCATATGAACCTATTGCTTTTACTGCTGAGTATTTTATTGGAGGTGTACTCGTGCACTGCTGCAATTTTACTTCAACCTGATTATATATATTTGTATATTATTTTGTTAGCACAACTTAGTTGTAACTTTTTTTTTTTTTTTTTTAATAAAAGTAGTTAACATAAAAGAGTTTGGAGTCGTATGAGTACATACTCGAATAAGCTATGTTTTTTATTTCGAAAAAAAAAAAAAAAGAATGCAAATGCAAAAGGAAGAAATGCAGAGATTTGAAAAGTAAGGAAAACAAAATAAAAGGTGGAAAATAAAAGTAGCATAAAATGGAGCAAGGGTTGTCGTGCTTTCTCTCTTTGTCTCACACACAAAAAATGCCGGTCAGATATAAGGAAGAAAAAAAAAAAAAAACTATCATAGTTCTTTATGAAACTCATGACACATAACCAAAATAAAAATGATGCATCTACATGCAAAATACACTAAGACACATTTATTATTGTGAGTTTAAACAAATGTGTCTTTAAACTATTTGCGGACAGATGCATATAATTTTCTATTAGTCTCATGTATTATGTGACTTTCTTTCTTTATGAAGCATGCACGCCTGTAGCACTAAATAATAATAGAGTGATTTAACTTATACAAGCATATGCTCATATTAACCTATTGCTTTTACTGCTGATTATTTTATTGGAGGTCTACTCGTGCACTGCTGCACTTTTACTTCAACTTGATTATATATATTTGTATTATATTATGTTAGCA